AATTTCTGCTCTATATGCTTTCTAAGATGGAGATATTATATGTATTATTTCTGATATGTTTTTCTATGATCAAGATATCTGCTTTCCTAGGATTAAGATGTCATAATATTCATATATATATTACCTATTGTTTCTAATATGATTTTCTATGATTAAGATATCATTTTATTACCGATAATTTCTCTGCTTTCTTAAGATTGAGATCTCATATGTATTACCTATTATTTTCCAATCTGTTTTTCTATGAAATTAAGATATCATATTTATTACTTATTACTTTTGCCCTTCTTGAATTGCTTCGGATTGAGATATCATAGTTATAACTTATTACCTATTAATTTTACTCTGCTATTGTATCATCAATCATTAAATGCTTTTATGAAATAAATATATCATATTTATTACTTATAATTTCTTACTTGCTTTCCAAAAATAAAGATATTTTCTATTTTTCCCATCAGCGTGTATATATATATTCAAGAGATTTTATAGTGCCACATGGGATGCTAAAACATACATTTTAGCCAATGAAAAGAGAATGTTACAATTTAATTTAGAATTTACAAATATTCAATTGTCACTTAAACAAGACTAACAAATGAGATTTAAGAGTTTAAATTAATTTTAAAAGATTATCTTGTGATATTTATATAAATACCTCATAAATGAGAAAAGAGACTTTTATCATGTTTTCTCTAAAAATAAAAATCAAGCAAGTCTTGTGTGTGGCCAATGTTCAATTGTTTATAAGATATACAAGTATATTTATTCATTCATATGAGTAACTCGGTTATCGTAAAGGCAATCTTATTTTATTTATATGAATACCCCAATTTATTATACAAATAAAATCAATTGAATAAATTAAATTTCACTTGTTTACAAGAGAAGCCTCATTTTTCCGTTAGAGTACGTAACCCTTAACAGTTGGACCAAAAAATTTCCTTTTATTACTCCATTTGGTTTTCTGGTTTGTAACATATCATTTTCACTTGTATTTTAAGAGAGCCATTATACTAATGAAAATAAATAAACATTAAAAAAAATCTATTGAAAAATATAAATAACCTAGCTCTTCTTCTCTTCTTATCATGGTTTGAGAGATTAAATTATTAACTAGTCTTTTAGCTCGTTATTTGATGCACGAGTTGTTAGTAAGATTATTTTTTTTTAAAATCTGTTGCTTATTTGTGTTATATGCTTGGGTGTTGTTTTGTAATAATTACATTTGATCTTGCAAAAGAAAAAAGTGAATTTTTATTAAATCCCAAACTGAATTAAAATAAAATAAAGGGAAATCCTTGAAAATTAATTTCTTAAGAGAAATAATAATAATAATAATAATAATAATAATAATAATAATAATAATAATAATAATAATAATAATAATGCCAATATAGAGAAGGATAAAAAAGAAATAAATTTAAGTTGTATGATTAAAATAAGTTACACCAATAACAAAAGTAATACATACTCATCAAGGTTAGAAAAATAAAGTAAAACATCATGATAGACTTTTTACATTGAGAATGACGGTTAAACAAATCACTTAAACAAAAATGAGTTGTTCGAGTTTTGATAATAAAAACATAATGCTCCAGTGTATATTTAGGTATGTTTTCCAATAGATGAAACTTTTAATATAAAATACAAGTTTTCATGTCTATTGTGGTGGATGAAATTCAATGCTATAACTTATTTATGTAAAAAAAAAAAAGGTGATGGTGGAACTGTGGAAGAAGATAAATGAATTTAGTTAGGTATATATACATGGATATCGTGAGATATAAAATGACAAATTGGTTTAAGTTATATTTTAAGTTTAGGAGATGATAATACTTTTTTATTGTACTTTATATGTTAATGTAATATGCACTAATTAGTTCAACTTTATTTTATTATGGTGCAAATGAAATACTTCATTTTCTTACTTAAATTTGAAAGTTATGGAATGCATAAAACTTTTTATTTTTTTTATTTTTTTTTGGTGAACATTATATAAATTTTGTATTTTAATTTTTTATATATATTAAAAAGGGAACATAAAAAAGAAAGAGTGACATGTGGCATATGAGTGATTTGTGGTGACATGTATGTGGCATATGAGTGATTTGTGTGTTTTTATATACTAAAGTATAGAGTATAGATGTGTATCTTTACCTTCTTTAACTATTCCTTAAAATAAATGTTAAAAAGATATTTACATATGTTACAATAGCGCTTCTTGTATGTATGCGGCTAACAACACCATGTGCCCGCTTGAGAAAGAACAAATTAACCCCTATAACATTGACCGAGCAACCCATGTAATACCTATCGAGTAATCCCTATAACACTGAGTCACTGACCAAGTAACTCTTACAATACTGACAAAGTAACCCTTGTAATACTGACTGAATAACCCCTATAACACTGACGAAATAACATCTATAGCAATGATCGAGTAACCCTATAATATTATTAACGAAGTAATCTCCATGTTGTCTAGACATATGGCGTGACCAGACACATATAAAAAATTGTGATGTTCCAAAAAAATAAAATATGTTACGGCTAAATAAAAATAATGAGGTATAAAAATATTAAGCTCCAATTCAAGAAAAGCTTAAAATTTTGAGGTTTGACATATCTAACTACTTAAGAAAAGTTTACGAATATTTTGAGGTTTGGCATACGTACATTTTTTAGCCATTCATTTACAAATTTGAAGTTTTGAATTTAAAATTAAACTTCATTCGCATGAGATTGGACTTTTTCATCCAGCTTACAAGATGGTACAACTCGATTGCTAGCAACTTGTTCATATTCCACATGACAAAGTCAAGGCCTCTTACTAACTCGCATGTATTTTGAGTTTGACCGCAAACCATGCTCAATTGCTCATGCATATGACAATGGATAAACATTAAACAACAATAACGTCATTGCATGTTAGCCTGCAGGTAGAGCTATTTCAAGGAAGCATTTAGTCCGAGGTCTTGGATTAATGTGTTGAGAGAATAATTTGAATAATGTGAATAGTCTCGCACTCTCGTATGAAAGAAAAAGAATGAAGATTCGGGACATAATTTATTTGAGATTTATATGTATCTAGGACTATATCTACTGATCTACTCGTTTTTGTGCTAAGAATATAAGTATTTTACATAATAACTAAATAAATTTAGTGGGCTACTCGTTTTATTATCCACGCTCTATTATTTCGGGGCATGACGTATTTGAGATTTATTTGTATTTGAGTGCTAAGAATAAGGGTATTCTATTGGTCAATTTTTATGTTGGTTGTGTATAATGTGACATAGTTACTGCTGGTGGAGTGTGAGAGCATGAAATTGCAAGAGTGTTGGCTGGCATTTGGCGTAGAATTAGGTATCAAATTACGCAATCAGGTGGTGCAACGAGTACTTGGTAATATATAATTGATTTTAATTGAATTTCGTTTTTATGTGAGCTTCTTGTTTGTTCTTTTTCTAATGTACTTGTGCTTTTGGCTTTTTGTCTAATACGAAATACTAAGTATAATTTAAAATTACTCAAAAAAACAAGGTGGAGCAACTAGGAGCTTTTCACCAAGGATGTTTTTGTTTGGGTTTTGGTTTTGTAATCTTCAAACTTTAACGACCCGCTTGGTAGGCGATAATAAATTGTGGTAATGGTAATGAATTTTAATTGTAATTTAGTATTAAAAACAACTTATAATCTCCTTGGGAACTCAATCTCATCCCCCAAAGCATGTGTTTCGTTATATATTTCCATTACTCCATTATCTGAGAGGTGGTATTAGGTGGGCATGGAAATTTAGAATAGACAATTTAGGGTCATCTTGAATGATCATGAGAATGAACATGGAATTCCTCACCATATTTACATATGAATTCATTCTCATTACCATAATTTATAAACAGTTATCAAACAAGGCGTGAGGGTTTTAATTTTCCCATTGCCGATGATGCCCAATGACAATCGGTGACCATCTTTTATGCTCAGACAATTGGTGTGATCGCCAATTTGTGAATTCTCATTGTAGGTGGTAGTAGTCAATAGTTGGAATGTCACTGGCAATGATCGATGATGATGCATGGTTGGGGTACGAGTAAATGAATATGTTTGTGCATAGTAAGCCATATACAGCTATAAACTTAGACGCTCTAATATGAACTAGAACTTAGTCTTTATGCACTTCAATGCTCCAAAGAAGTAGCGTAAACTCATAAAGTTGCAAGTACATACTCGCGAGATAAACTCTGAGGAAATGTATTTCTAACTTCTGTTTCTTGTAGCTAAACTCAGAATCCTGCAGTTTTTGAGGTGTATCCATGCCTATCTTTATGGTGACATTATCGTTAGTTTATGTATTGGTTTGACAAGAGGCTTGGATTTGTTTAAAATCCGGCAAGATCATTACTTTATTCTCGCTCTTCTTCATGGAGTTCCACTTAAACAGAGAATTGACTTCAGTCCAAAATTAAGGTATTGCTGTTGCTGAAGCCACTAGGTATTGCTAGAAAGGTACAGTTAACCTCTGCATACTGTGTACAAAGCTATAAACCTCTGCAACTCTGTTGTTCCAGGATTTCCAGCAACTCAAATGAGTTGAACTTGCAGTTGCTCAATCGAAGCGTAAACCCTGGCAAATTTAAGTAGCTCACTGCTCTGCTTTCAAGTTCCAGATTGTCACCGGGTCACAGAACCTAAAGTTCAACGATCAGGACGGGCATATTCAGAATGCCTTTCTAATTTAAACTGCAGAGGGTAAGTATCAATTTTTGCAGACGTTGGTTGCAAAGGCAAATTGTGAAATACTATGAACAGGTTCGTCATGGATGGTATCATTACCCCTGAATTCTCAACCCAAATGCTACAATAGATCTTTTAGAGAAGCGTAGAGTTGGCCTAGCTTGAGCTCTATCCACAAAAACTTGTTTCGGATTTAGTCCCAAAATTAACCCTATTGAAGTCAAAAACTCCTACAATACGTCAATACCAGAATATCAAACTCATATAACAAGGCTTTCGCTGCATGTAATAAAATCTACGAGTAACAAAATTGAGTACACAACATTCATTTCACTCAACACCCTCTAGCATTAGAATTTTACTACTAAAATACAAATAGGTTGACATGCAAAAAAAATTCCTCCCTTCAACAGTAAATTGTCCTATGGTAGTATATGAAGAGTAGTTTATCGCTTTCCACCTCCACCACCAATCTTTGGGCCCCTTGGAGCTGCTCCCTTGGAAGCACCTTTACCCTGGGTTTTCTGTGCCTTGGACACTTCCTGTTTCTTGGATCTCTTTTCATCCTTGGTCTTCTTGATTCTTTCCTTGATCTCACTACAATATCATAAACATGTCATTCAAAATTTATAAAACTAACAGTAATTATTGGATAATTCAGATGAAAAATCCCATTAGTGATGTAGAAACCATGTCTGCCACTATAACATACAGGTGCAAACTAAATTAGCAAGTGAACTCACCGCAGAGCAGCCTCCCTTGCAGCATCTCTAACTTCAGGCTTTTCGGTTCTTTTCTTCTGAATAACTTCCAATGTAGCACCAACAATAGACCTTGAATAAGGCTTCTTTGTGGCCCTTCTCCTCTTCTTCACAGCTTCAGCAGAGATATCCTGTACATATAGGAGAAAGCCCAACACAAAGACCAATATTTTAAGCACTTCATGATCAAAATCTACCAGAAGTGATTCCCCATTACACAATTACACATTAACCTGTAGATAAGATCACAATAGAAACATGGAAAGGGAGAGAGGAGGGTCATTACCTTCTTATGTTGTTTCCGATAAACGGCAGTCCAGCAGAGCTTTGCAGGCTTCAGACGGTTGTGGAAGTACCTTTTACATTTTGAATTGACAAAAAGGAATACCTTCAAGAAAGATTAACAAAGATTGGTTAGCTTTCATTAATCCTCAAGAATATGAAGTCAGCAGCAAAACACACCAAGTTATGAAGTGAAAATTCAAAAATTATCAGAGTAGCTTTACCTGAGAATCTGAACGAACAAACCTGATACCCCTTCCAGGGTATATCTTTGCACCACTAAAGCGGCAAAGTTCCGTCCTGGAGTTCACAGTTTAAGCAAGACCAGGTTAATCCAAAGCAAAGTACACAGCTAAATACATGGAAGGGTAAGGCAGCTTCTAAATAAGGGTGATGTTATTCAAAAAGAAAAATAAAATCATAAACAGATGCACAATCACAATGTTGTCAAGAATTTAATCAATGTATAATGCCCTTAGAATCGCAATAGATTATGACCTCAAAAACATAAAACTTCATAAAGAAGTGTATCATTCTAGCCCAATGCAAGATTGAGATAGAGAACTAGGTCAATAAGCGTGGTTAATTCATTCAATAGTCAATTCAGACAAAAGCTCAATTACCCACAACCCATTCACAAACCCCAAATCGTAATCAGTATGACTCAACCCCAATTCTTTCTCCGAACCAAACCAGAACATTGAATTGATACCAATATATACATCGGATAAACAAACTCAGAGCCATTAATTCCCGACTGTTTGATCCTCTCTTTACCCGATGTCCCAAGCTCCAATCCCCTATGTTTCAAACATTTTAGTCCAAATAAACCCTGCCAGGCAGTTTCACTTCCCAACCTACCGCCTGTTTCAACTTGCTGAACAACAAAATAGGCTTAATCTAGCCACAAGTCCCATAACTTTCATATAAATGTTTAACCCTGGGGTATCAATATAAACAATCCATAGGCTATCATTTCTCATACCAAAACCACTGATCCTACCAATCTAATGCAAATGGAATAACTTAAAATCACAGTAGACAAGGACCTCTTCCAAAAAAATAAAACTTCTTATAATAGTGTATTAATCTAGCCCAACACAAGTTTGAGATCGATAATTAGGTAAATAACTTAATAAGTGTTGCAATTTCATCCTCGAGTCAGCTCAAACAAAAGCTCAATAATCCACGACGCATACACATTTTTCTCAAACCATAACCGAAGTATGACTTAAAACACCAATTCTTCTCCAAACCATGAAATAACTCGATAGTATGAATAAACAACCTTAGAATCATCAGTTCACTAAAGTCCTCTATACTACCTCTTTTTCAAACATTCACTCCAGATAAACCCTGCCTGGCACTCCCAGCACTCTCACTTCCCCAAATCGCGCCAACCCAAAGTTCCTCAACTACAAAATAGGCTCAGCATTGCCACAATATTCAATTATAAGTTCACTCTGGGTATGCACAGTCCAGTCATCCACAAACTATCGTTTTACAAGACGCCAAATTTATTCGTTGATCCTACTAATCTGAGGCCTATACAATAACCCAGTTCCTCAAATCTCATGAATTTTAAAAATAACCCAAAAACACTAAATAAAACTACTCTTAAAACCCTAAACCCTTCAGCATTTTCCCAATCATAATTTACAAACAACCCAAAACACAAGCTCAAATAAGCCATTAAAACAAACTCGTTAATCCCTTAAAAACCCATTTCCAACACAATAAGCTGCTACATCTATAACCCATAAATTGATATTCACAATGCTACATTAGATTTTGCAAATACAATCAAAAAATATAATTAATAGCAGATTTCATTATAAATTGGCGCAAAAAAAAATGCAAAACTACAATGAAGAAAAAGGGAAGAGAGAGAAAGTTACTTGAGAACCATGACGACTGGCTGGCGGGGCTTACAATGATCGTCTTACAGTTGTGCTTTGCCCTGAGTCGCCAAACCAGAGAGAGAGAAGCGACGAAACCCTAGCTTTATTTTTTGTGTTTCTGATTTCTAATTTTTGTGTTACTTTGCTAAATGAAGTACCACCTACCAATTGGGCTCTTTTCACTTGTTTTGGGCCTTACCTTAATTAAGATTTAATTTAAGTGTAAATCAGTATTTACTGTTTTATTAATTTTTTTTTTTTGTCTGTGAAAAAATTTTAAATAAAAATTGTCTAAATAATGTTTATAAAAAAATAAAAATTGTTTACAAAGAGTAATGTAAAAGAGTTGTTTTTACCTCTAAAAATGAATCATAAATCATTTGCCACACTATACAAAGAATACTATGTAACTCACTATTGGTGATTTGGTGGTTCAATTTGGTTTTTTTTTTTTTTTTTTTTTTTTTTTTTTTTTTTTTTTTTTTTTTTTTTTGTTAAATTAAACTCCATACATTCATCAAAATGACTCATTATTAATAATGTACGCCTGTACGGAGTATCGATCTTTCGTCTTTCTCAAGAATATACTGTTAGGTGTATTCAAAGGTATTTTTAAGGTTATTTGATCATATTAGCTCATATTTAGAATATTGAAATGAGCAAACACTCTTAGATCCCCTTAATGTAAGACACTAAGTTTGTACTTCCCTCCGTCACTTTTTAATCTTTATATTTGGAATCGTTGTGAGAGAAAAATGGTCAAAGCGTATAAATAAAAAGTGACAGAGAAAATAGAAAATACTCTGATATAGAATTATTAAAATTGGAAAGAAAACAAATTAACACAAAGTAGGTATCATTGTCTTCTATAGTCTCAAAAACGCTCATTTACATAAACTCTCAGTATTTTAACTCTTTTTTAAAAAGTATACTTTCTTATGGTGAAAATTCCAATCATTGTTGTCAAAAAAAAAAAAAAAAAAAAACAAAACAAAAAAAAAAAAAACAAACAAACAAACAAACAGTGAAATTTAATGCGTTTTTGGTATCAAAGTTTTGTATTGTTGGTGTCAAATTTTCCTATATAAAGTGCATAAACTAAAACTCCATCGAGTATTTTTATTCTTTTTCCCTTTCTTTAGTTGTGTAAACAACTTTCGTCAACCTTGTGATTTTGAATCGTAAACTCTCCAGAAATTGATGCCTAAGCCAGTGCAATTATTTAAACTACCACAGCACATCAATGCTTTCAATACTAGAGTGAAGTGCAAATAGCTTTTGATCTTTCTTAACCACGGTTGAAATCTTCCGATTGCTTTAGAAGACAAATGTTCAGAGATTATCACAAGAAGGCACAACACATTAGCCGCAAAATATATAAATCAACCCGTGTTTACATCGCCAAAGAGCTAAAAATTTCCCAGCTTCAATTCCGTGAACAGTGAGAAATCGTCAATTCGTCATTAGCTACAAGCATAAGATTAGTAAATATAAAACTGGTTTTCAGCCGTCTTTGAGAAAAAGCATGCCTGGATAAATTTAAATTTGTATGTATTCCTAGATGACCCAGGCTCTGCCTAGATACAAGCAAGGAATGCAATTTTCTTACAGCAATTCAACTCCTACACAAAATAACAGCTGAATCTACAGAGGAGAAACATTTTGCACAATCTGAAGTCACTGGAAAATGGAAACAGGTGGAGGAGAACCACTCTTCAACCATCTAACCGAGTTATCAGGCTGCTTTGGCTGTCTCCCTGACAAGTGATAACTTAGCCAACAGTCCGCACAGCTGAAGATAGGAGCCAACTCCATCGCAAATTCTCATATGGGTAAACCCAGTTTCCTGTACACATGAAAGAGAAATCAGGACTTGCACCAGACATGAGGAATGGAAAGATCAACAAGTCCTACAAGTATACACTCATACCTTCATGAATTCCAACTTCAAATACTCGGCCATGTCATAGTTTTTAACAACGCGGAAAAGTGTTGTGATTATGTCAGTAGGGGAGTAACCCATATCATAGAGGCCTTTCATACCAGAACAAGCATCATCAAACTTTCCTTCAAGCACATTTCGGATCATGTTCTTAACATGCAAAGGATGAGGCTGATCACAAACCTGTCAGACAAAAGATAGTACACAATCACAATTATCAATTTTCTAACATAAGCTAAAAAAAAAAAATTATAAAAAAAAAAAAAAAAAAAAAAAAAAAAAAAAAAAACAGTTTTCAAAAGCAACCTTAAAGACATTTTCCTGGTTGACAAATCGGAATCCACTGAAGGTAGCCTGCAAGTTATTCAGAGCTTGCCGCATATCACCATCAGCAGTGAAGATTATAGCTTCAAGACCTTCTGGAACATATGGAACCTTTATCGCCAAACACACAAAAATCTATTTCAGCAATAGAAAATCGAGCAAACCAACATACAATGCATGGAACATTGAAGAGGAAGGGGGGGGGGGGGGGGGAGGGGGGGACTGATGCAACAAGAATAAACCTAGCCACTCTTTAGCATTCATACTTCACAGTAACAAATGCAGTCACAGACTAATTAATAAAGACTAAAAAGTAATGAGAATCATAAAGTACAAAAACTAGATGAGCCTCAGCAATGATTATGAGATTATCACAACTCATAAAGTCATACACTCATACGCCAAATAATTTATTCCTCAATAACAAGAACAAGCGAAAGCAAATCTACATAAAAACTAACACCCAACAATTCAGCTTCAGCTAAAGTAAGTTGACAGAAGAGACTACCTGTTCAGCCTCAATGATTATCATGAGACGACCAAGAATTTCTTGATCTGACAACCTTGAAAATCGGACCAATGCACATCTACTCTGAATTGGCTCAATGATTTTTGAAGACGTATTACATGCAAGCGCAAAGCGAGTAGTGTTTGAGTATATTTCCATTGTCCTTCTCAAAGCTTGTTGAGCTCCAGATGTCATGCTGTTTCAACCCAATATAGCCCCAAAATTCGAAAAAGGAACACATAAAGTCATAAAAGGAGTGTCAGAAATCAGAAATGATGAACGTAGCACGTATTAGAATACCAAAGTACAGTTTTACCTGTCAGCTTCATCCAGTATAACAATCTTGTGTCGCCCAGGGGGGAGAGTAACTTTCTTCTGTGCAAACATTTTAATTTTGTTCCTGACAACATCAATTCCCCTGACAAAAAGGAAAAAATGCAGTAAGTATCCAAGAGACCACGTGAGCAGTATAACATCTTTCGGGAGGAAGAGGGAGGGAGGGTAGGAATACCTATCATCTGAAGCATTCAACTCCAGAACTCCTTCCTTGCAGTTTGATCCTAAAAGTTCATGTGCAAGAGCGAGTATGCTTGTTGTTTTTCCTGTACCCGGAGGACCCTAAACATACAAATGGAGTCTCATCAATATGCGACATAAAGTATATAAAAGCCTAAGTAACTCCATCACCCTAATAATTAAAGGCGGACATACAGTCCTCCAGTTCATTCAATACATAGGCAAAATCTGTTTGCATAACCCCATCATCCCATGACTAAAACAAACACAGATTCCACAAAATGTACTGCTTAGGAACGAGTATACAATTTACAAGATTGTGGCTATGCTTGTAAAATAAACACCTTTGATATTCCCAACACAACCCAACTACAGGACAGGAACAGGAGAAAGAGGGGAAAAAAATCAAACTTGAAGCTTTCCTCTTCCCTTCTTATTCAGCAAATTGTTATCTACCCTAATTCTGCCGCATGAATCTAATTCATTGGACAACTATCTTAACACATCAAAAACAGCATTTTGCAGTAAAACTGCACACAGCAATCAACATTTTCACAACAAACATTCCAAGAATGTATTACAAATGAATTTATTAAGTAACATTAATTGCAAAACTGTTAACTACAATACCCGTTAGGGTTTCAATCAAAACACGGAAAATCAATACAAACTCAGAATATAGCACTAAAAAAAGGCCAAACCCAGTTATCTAGTACTAAATTTGCCAAAGAAAGCTACAATTCGAGAAATTCCCCAACAAAAAATCCAGATAAAAAAATGGCGGGAAAACAAAAAATTGCAAAACCCATAAAAATACCAATGACAACCAACAAAATTAGCTAATTTCAGACACGAATAGTGTAAAATTTCGTCTAATTTATCCAGATTGAAAGAGGAATTAACGAGGGGAAGAAAGAAAGTACGGCCAAGATGAGGTTAGGCATGTTGCCGTCGCGAGCAATGACTTGAAGGCGAGAGACAGCATCTTCGTTGCCAACGATGTCGGAAACCTTGTTGGGTCTGTACTTCTCCACCCATGGTACCTCGTACCCGCTATTCGATGAAGAAGATGCCATTGCTAATTGCTATTCCTCACTATCAAAGCTCAACCCAATTTCCTTACTGTTGAGTGTTATTATGAGAGTAAGAGTTTGATTACGGCGAAAACTCGGTACATGAAGGCCCGTTCTTAAGAAGAAAGTCTAAGGTCCTATTCTTTAAAGCAGCTTGATGAGCCTTATACTCTGCTTTGGATTAAAAATAATAATTAATAATTCATAATAAAAATTATTAATATTTATAATAATATTAATTAATAATAATTTATAACGATTTTTAAATATATATTGATCATAATAATAACACATAATATTTTTTTCCTGAAGGAATAATAATACTAACATATTTAATAATAATAATAATAATAATTTTATAATAATAAGTAATGACATAAAAAGTAATATATATTTTACTGACATGTCACCCTTTTTTTCTACAGAAAAAAGTAAATTGGATTAATTAATAATCAAATCTATAAGCTACCCAAAATTGTACAATGCATTTAATCAAAAGCTTCAACCAATATCTTTGTGGTCAAATGTTGCCAAAACCAATTCACAATACAATCCCCAATTACCCATACAATTTTCTTAAAATTGGAAAAAAAAAGTATAAAAATAAAAATAAAGTAGTTCCTCCATATAAGCAACGGCTATAATAATTTGAAAATGTTAAACTATTGTCTTTTATCTTTCTACTATTAACATATTTAAAGATGGTACACATCTATTTATGTTTTCATTCACCTAAATCAATGGTATGCACTTGTTAAATAATAATAATAATAATAATAATAATTTAAAA